GTTTGATGCTTGAATATGTGTTGGCCGTGCTGAGTTGGGGACTGAGTTCGATGGCCTATTGGGACTCATGTGCGCTTGATTTATTATGGCTCATTTTGTGGAAGTTGTGGTGGATTTGATGCTTGCACGGGCTAATTTGAATGATTGGCGTTTGAGCATATTAGAGTGTTGTTTGAATATGTTAATGACATTAAATTGATTGAATTAAGTGGCGTGTGTGTTTGCTTGACCAAGCCCGGATCGATCGAAGGGCTGTCAATCTGTAGGATGTTGACCTGGGTTGTGAGAAAGGACCTGTGGGGTGTTGACCCGGGTCGTGAGAAAGGTCTTGGAGCGTGTTGACGCGGGACAAAGCCGGATTAATATGAGGGTTGCCCGGACTGGAGCGTGTTGACGCAGTGGCGGGAAAGGACTGTGGGGTGTTGATCCGGGTCGTCGAAAGTTGGATGGATGCGCACGTGTAATGTACTTGATTGAATTGGGTGAACGTATGTGTATATGGTGCTTTCAGTGATTGTGATATGTACATGAGATGTTATTGCATTAATGTGAATTGACTAATATGCGAGTTGACGTATGAATTGAGGCGAGGTAAGTATGTTTGTGTGAATTCTAGTACGTCGAATGTTAGATTGCATATGGAAACCATGTCCGGGTACGCATTGTCCTATGTGGGGTTTAGGGTCTCGCTTATTGAGATTTATCTCATCCCCGTTATTAAACATTTTCAGGTTTGGAGTGACGGATAGTCGTCATGTGCGGTTCAGAGACCGGGAATGACTTTGGGCATTTGATGCTTCATTCCATCTTTTGAATGCCCCCTTTTTGTATAGTGTAGTGGACTATCCAACCATCGTCCCCTTTTGTTGAACGGGGTTTATTCGTTAGTAGCCTGGGTTGTTATGGCGTAAATGAATATTGTTTGTAAGCTTGTCATGATTATGTTATGCCTTTATTGAATTGTGCAAGTGCTACCCCTTCTTCATCGTTTATTGTCTAGGTTGTTTAAAATTTCGCTTCTGCTTGCGTATGACGTGGGGTGTTTCCTTTGGGTCGGTGACGAGTCCTGGGACGTCACATTCGATACGACCATCGTAGGGGTGTCGCGAGCCCGTTAGGGTCCGGGGCGTGACAAAAAGTGTTTTAGTAATATGGGTCGGGTAGGGTATGTGTTGAATTGGGTATGAGTCAAGAAAATTGCATTAGGCATAAATGGGTCATAAACAGGTTAATGGTTCAATTTGGGTCGGACCATTCTTGACCTGACCCAAACCCAACCCAACCCGATCCATCCATTTAACAGGTCTAGTTTCTACTCTCATTTATATTTAAATTCTTCATTCTCAATCAGAAAAAACTAATGGATAAGAAGATGAATTGAACTTACATAAAGTGACATATATTGATACTCTAAAAATGAATATGTTGTTTTAACCAATCTATTAAATAAATGAGCTAGCAACAGCTCACCCACAATAGTTTGTTTAAGAAAATGTTAGATGCTTTCAAAGCATCATGAGATCAACCACCCAGTGAGTATTCACTATCAAGTGCTATGAACTTTTGACATTTCCTCTAATTTTTATGGAAAAGATTGGTTGAAAGTATCATCATGAGGTGTTTAGGGAGCACCTTTCAATCTCTCTTTCTGCACTTGCATTTCCCTACTGCAAGGATTCTGTCGCTTCAATATGGCTTCGGAGTTTGGACAATTTTAAGCTCTCATTAAGAGTGCCATATGCCACTGCCAAAAGTTCAGTGTTGAGGCAATTATTAGCGTCTAACAAGTAGATATTATTAAATGAAAATGTATGTAATAAACTAAATCTGAATCGTAAAAGTTGAAGACATTCGTGTTGAGCCTACTATTTTGGACGGTTCAAAGTCAATTTTGTTTATGCACTAAGTTCACTCAATAATTATATTCAATAGATAACTGTACCACAAATGCAACGGTCAGTTTCTAGAATTCAACCATAATAATACCACATGTCTAAATTCGATCTTTGACTAAAAAAAAAGTTTGATCCATTAAATCTCAATGGTTAAAAGGATATATCTTGTATGAAACCCATCTTATCTAATGTGTATGATCCAATAATCCATGGTAAATCAGATTCATAGAAAAAATTTACAAAGCGAGGGGGATGATCATAGTGGTGCAAGCGAATCAGATTTTAAACTATGTCCCCATCCATCGTTCGTAATAGATGATAATAAGTTTTTGGATTGTGGGCTAACCTATGTTCTAATTTGTAGGCGCAAGAGGAATTTGTTCAACAATTACCACAAAAATTGAACTTAAGCTATGGAAGATTATAAATTCTCATCCTTGGATTTCTTGTGAACAAATCCAAGTCGGTAATTTGAGTTAAGTTGAGCTAAGATTTGTTAGAGTAATTAAATATTAAATCACGCATTCATCTAATAGCTTAAACTTTTAGAATAGTTGGCAGTGGTTCTATCAAAATCTCACATTTTGCCTCATTGGTGTTTGAAGGAAATCGAAATCTTGGGTTTGCCATGATTGTATCAATTTTTTTTTAACAAGAAAAGAGCAGTGTGCCCTTGCGTGGCTCTGACACATCCAAATTTGATTTCATTACTATAATGTGTGAAGTCTAGCTAAGCAGGAAAGTTTAGAATTTCTCTTTTTTTTAAATGAAAGGCATTGCCCATGAATAATGATTGGTGGTCGAAATATGATATGATTCCAAATGTAATTTTGTAGACGAGCGAAGTGGGGGGAAAAATCAAAGAAAGAAAGTGGCAGTTTGTTGTTCCAACAGAAGGGAGCGACTCAACTCTGAATTTGTGGCAGAGTTAAACGCAATTTATTTGGGATGTTTAGAGAGATTTGAGTTAGTACACTCTGAGCGGGGCAAGTTAAGGAGGTCAAACCCTAAGATTTTCTTATTGGACTTAACATCAACTTATGTCCTTATGGCATGGGCCACTTGTCCCTAACTTGTTTCCTCTTGACACGTGGCGATACAACACCTGACAATCTTAACACGCCATCCTCTTTAATGGCAATTTCTCATCTTTCACTATAAATACCCTAAACCATTTTCTTGATAGTTATATTCACAACAAGAGATGTACTTCTTTAATCTCTTCGATAGCAATGTATCAACCTCTCACCTGCCACCTTGCATTAAAGTCCCTTAAGATTGTTGAGGCTCCCGTTCTGTGCTTCATTCATCCGAATGATTGGTATTACTCATGCCCAATACTCACCCTCTCTTTGCTAAAGAATCGCGTGTGAAAGGACAAGGTCCTCTGTAACTAGTCCCAGATAATTGGTATTACTCGTGCGTAGGGCCATCGAATAGTGGGTTGTGTTGGGTTTGTGTCGGATCGAGGATGATCCGATCCAAATTGACCCGTTTAACTTTTTTTGACCAGCTAATTCAAATTTAGTGACTCGTACTTGACCCAACTCATATTACTAAAATACATCTATATCTAATCCAACCTATGAAAATCCATACCACCCATTTAACCCACTTTAAAATCTTCACTTGTAAATGTTACTTGGATAAAAATTTCATATCGAATTTAAAAAGTAAATTAGCATGATTAAATTATGTTAGTAAATATAGCAAAAAACACAAAAATATTGCAAACATTGCAAAAAAAAAAGGACAGAAAAGAAAAAGGAAAAAATTTGCAAAATTTTAAAAAATTGCAAAAATCGTCAATGTCAGCAACGACCGTGCCAAGTAAGATGGCCATTTACTAGACAGCCACGATAGTGATTTTTGGCCAAACTTGGCAAATTAACAAAGATTTAAGACTAAAGTGACCAAATTAAAAAATTTAGGATTGAATTGGTCACTAAGAAAAACCAAATTAAGCAAAATGGTCTCAATAAAATAATCCAGAAAAGTAAAAAGTAAAAAGGAAACGGTGGATGTGAAGTTATGTGTAAGTAAATTTGAAAAGATAAAACTAAAAGCGTAAAGGCATCAGATTATTGAAGAGGGGCCGACGAGTTGGAATATAGCGTTTGGGTGTCATTAGTTTGAGATCTTTCATAAGCAATACAATATTTTTAATTACTTTTTGCTTTTTATTCAATATTACGACTCACGGAAACAATATCGACATATAAATATATACATAATTTTTTGTTGTAATATTTCACGAACTGAGGATATTCTTTTTGTTTTCAAATTTGAAAAGACAAGAAATCACGTCTTGTTTCTAAGCGTATCCGAACAAGCTTACCTCAACCGGTCCGTGTTTATCAGTAAACTCTGAGTAGCACACACATGGGCTGAAATGTACATGTCACAATTGCTAAAAAGCCGTACGCAACCCAATTAAAATGAGTTAATTTATGGGTATGAGGTAAATTCATTTAGACCCACTTATAGTTGGACTTTGCATTTTAAAACCCTTTCCAATCCAATTATAAAATTGGGGTGGCCCGTAATACACTCACTTTTAATAAATATGAGTGGAAAAATAGGTTCACTAATCCATTTTGCCACCTCTACTCGTGCACAACACCTATCCTCTTTTGCTAAAAAGATATCGTATGAACTCATGACAAGTCCTCTACAATCACCAGTCTCTCCCCCTTTAGCCATTGTATAAATCCAAGTCATCTTGAATCTTAATTATTACAAAGAGAAACGACAATAGATTAAAAAAATAGGAAAAATATATTATACTCAATTTATAGGAAATTTTACCTAATCAACCAATCCATAATTGATGTTAGGTTAATAATACTCTCTTTTTTAAATTAATGGCGTAAGTATAAAGCCAATTCTGTAAATCCTTTTTTCCTACTGACAATGTATGCTATAATGTATTAAAAGAAAATCCTAAAAATGCATAGCAACACATTGCCCCTCATTTCAAGCTAGCCTTCAATTCCTCCAACTTCGTTTTCATCACAATTTGTAGCATCACTCAGCACTTCACACTATCATCCAAAGACCTCAACACCTCCCCCTTGACAGCAGTGGATCTGCAACATCATACGATTCATGAAAAGCATTATTTCTCGAATTTACTAGAGAAATCAATCAAACAGTTCGTCGTTCGACTGCAAGAACATCATCCCCTTCCATCTCATATTCATTCATCGTGGATATTCGTCAATCCATCATGATAGCATTCAAGTCGGTGTTCACCCCATTGAAAAAAGAGGTTTCAAAGAAATCTTGAATTCTTCATATTATTCCAACTTCAACTCATTCTCTAACATGAAACGGAAGAGCGTTAGAGAGCATGGAATACAAACCCGCTTCAAATTTGGCCACTTTGTCCCTCAGCACTTCTTGACATCACAATTTTCGCTGAATAAGATATGATTTTTTCCTCCAAATCACTCTCCATCCTAGAACTTAACTTTTCTTTTTGGCATCGTCATCAATTTGTTTCCCTTTTCAACGCTTCAACTGCCTATTCCAGAGTGCCGGCTTTGGGACCTGCTTTTGTGGACTTCGACGCTCTAGAGAGTTCCTGATTCAATGGATTCGAATGACATGACAACTCAGCTTCATGAATTGATCGAAGATTTCTTGCTCCATGGGCTTCAAGCATGTGTCATCATGACCGAGAATGACGAACCATGCTGGAGCTTGAATTCATGGGAACCGAGCAGCACCGGTGATGCTCGACAACTAGTGCGCCTGAATATCCCTAGGCAAGACGTCGCAGGCCTTTGAAACAGAGCATCAATGGAGACGTTAATGGCGGACGGAAGCAAAGAAGCGCTCGTAACCATGACGAGGAATGTAGAGAAAGAGAGAGGGAGAGAGAGTCCACGGACACGGTCATGGCGTTGTCGAGCACATTCAGCGAGCTTCTCTGGACTTCAATCTTCGAGAGACTTGCTTTCGCTTGACCACCAATCCAAAGCTTGAGGTCGCCACCGCCGAGTCGTGGATTATTTCTATTGTGAACAGGTACTCCTTGAAACAGAGTCGAGCTTCGTCATTTCATCGAACACCTTCCTCGCAAACTCGATTCCTCCTCCACAGCACAATCAACGGCAATGCAACTCGGAAAAAAGCGAGGGCAAAGCAGGAACGAACTGAAATCACAATTACGGTGGAAGTTCCAAAGATCCATAAAGGCATTCAGCTTTGGAATGGAACACAAAAATCACAATATTATTATCAAATTTTGACATCAAAGATCGGTAGCATTGGACTCAATTTCTTTTGATATGATAATAAAAGAATATCGTATAAACTTTGGATATAAGAGTGTAACTCTTGTAAAATTGCAATAATGTTGAGTTTGATCAAAATGTCAATCAACCTTAATATGTCCCTCAAGTACATGCACATATCATAAAATGAATTCATGCCTTACAAGAACTAAGCATCTCCCAAAGGAGATATTATATATGTACCACTAAGTTGATTCCCTTAGTAACAAGATGTTGTAAAATACTCTATGTTACGAGCTCCCATTTATGTAAGGCCATACAGATGCCACAAGTTTAACAAGGAATTTCTTTTATAAGCTTCCATCTCATATAATCAAAACTAGCCAAGACCTTCGTATCTCAATCTAGCATTTTAAAGGAGACAATCGAACAAAACTTGGAGAGTTTTGATGTTTTTTTTTTTTTTACAAACTCGCCTGTAGGTGGAGAATGCAATATACAACTAGAAATTCTCTCTATTGCCAATCAAAATGGCACATCTTATCCTACAAAGAAATCCAACACTCCAAGTGTGCGTGATTGATAAGAATCGATATTTCATCCGAGTGACTATCCTTGTGATCATAATAGACTCCCCATTACGACAAAGTAAATAACTCATCAATTAGAGCCTCTCAATGAAGCTAATTATGAGACAATATCAATCTAAGAAAGCTTATCTCCTATGGGCAAACAAGCCTCCTAGACTGGTGTGCCTTACTACACTGCCTCAAATCCTCGATGTATAGAATACAATAACGCTCTCTAGGATGTGATCGTATATCATAAGATAATAAACATCCCATGAAGATGACGACCTATGAGTGCTCCGCAAGTCACAATGAGTGAACCACTTTGATGGTCAAACACCCATATCAAAATGTGCAAGTATTCTTCAAGTCGGGATGTTAAAAATAACCAATAGTTACATGAGTAATTCCACCGTTCTCAATATGTGAAGCACTCTGGTGCTCAATCACATATTGAATCACGTGACATCTCCAAACACGAATGCTCAAATAACATGAGAAAATTTTTCGTGTGTCCCCACGAGTAAGTGACTTTGGCAACCAATCACTAATGGTGCATTATATAACTTCTTATCCCCACATATTTGTTGAGAGACTTTGTTTCAAACTTGTACATTCAAAAAACACAATATTTCAAAGAGAATATGTATGTAATTTCTCATATCAAAGTAATTTTGCAGCACCTAACTTATAAAAAATTATGAGTATTCAATTTATCTCAATTTATCTAAGATAAAATCTACCATAAGTATGCCAATTAAAAAAGAGGACATTGGCACATGGAGCACAACGCAAAAGACCGCACTAAAAATGGAGCCCAAAAGACTTGTCACGTGCCTAGACGTGCGTCTTCTGCGCATGGGGTTTGCCTTGCATACGCGTACAATTAGTCATCTTCAACCTCTGGCAAGGTAGCTTGACCGGGTCGCGACCTGGTCTTGATTCGTTCTAGATCCGGCATTAGAACGTAGCAAATTCGACCCTTTTAGCACAACTGAAGCTCTATCTCGATTTTATTATACGTTAAAAACCTAAAATCCTGATTGAATGCTTCAATTCGAAATAAAGTCTAGGATTTACCGAGAGATAGACCAATAAACGAAGCTTACTCATGCATCTAATAGCCTAATGATGGTCCAATTATAAGTAATTTGTACCATTGACACTCGGTGTCATCTAACCCTAGAAATCCGAAACACCCAAAACTCGATTCAGGTGCCCTGAATTGATTTCATTCGAAATTAAAGCTGCAAAATGACCAAAACTGTTTGTGGGTAGCACAATAATGAAGCCGGTTTGGACATGTAATAAGAAATCGACATCCAATTTGAAGCTTGTTTACTCCGGTCATAAGAAATTCACAGAATATGATATTCAACGTAGAAGAGAACTCTCTAACAGTTTTTGAGCATCAACAAGTAAAATTGTCGAAATTGCACCACATGATTTTCGGTTCTCTTATTCATGCTGAAATCTTCTAAGTTGGAAATTCTTGATGCGCAGATGATATTAGGGCACGAAATTTATGGAGTATGAGAATTGTTGCATGAGTAACAAAAGCCACAAATTAATCGTCCAAACTAACAACCAAAAAGGTCAAATTGCAAAATGTCATTTTCGGTTCACATGCCCTTCAATATTTGAAATTCACACGGCATAGGCCGAGTTATAACACGAAATTTGCCAAGAAGATTTACCATAGAACCGGTATTTAAAATCCCATATTGATACCAAAAGAATTGAATTCCCGAACTCACCCATAAAAACCCCTGTAATATGACTATACATGTAATTACATAGAGATTACGCATTAAATGAATTCTGAACCCATATATAGCAGCTCTTATACCACATGTAAGAAATGCAATGATCAAAAACTCACTTATAGAATTTACAATACCTGGCCTTGAATAAAAAACGGGTACCTGGTTAGCTAATTATCGTCTTTGAATCGAGCACTATGGATAAATCCAGACAAATCAGGACTAGGCTTTCGTCTCTTTCTCCTACCTTAGATGGTCTTGATGGATAAAATGCAGGTGTACGAAATTAGGAGGGGAATGGAGACCATAACCTATTTATGTAGCATATTTTAATAGACTCCTCCATTACAGGTCACTGTTAAAATACTAATCTTCACTAATCGGCCAACCACATTATTTCTGTAACCAAAATATGCTAAGCCCTATATAATATGTTCACATTACCATAATTGGGCAATATAACATTCTTATATATTTTATAAGTACTATAACAGAGTATTTTTCACGGACCAAAAAATTATACAATTAATATTAGCCCGCATTTATACAAAATTCGAACACATTGAGGTCCAAAATTACCATCTTCCTGCTCATGTTAGACTGTGGATCTTTCAGTCAAATGCTTTGGTATTTTCAAATGTTTTTTAATAGATTGGGTTATGATCAGTACTAGCCAGAAAGCACTAAAATTTCGACATTTCATAATCGAACGAAAAAAGGTCTCACGTGTAGGATTGAACAATACTGAAAGCACACTCAGGGAAGAAACAGTTGCCAATTGCCTTCTTTTTTTTTTTTTTGGGTCAGAAAAAGCACTTTCATTCATTTATTCATTCATGAATCAAACTCTACCAGAGCTAGACAAGTTGGTTTCTAAACACAAAATATTCCAAAGGGGTTATTGGGGTAAAGAAGACTAATTCAAAGGGACAGTCTTGTTCCTATGGCCTTAACAATCCAATCAGCAACTTGATTAACCTCATAGGGACAATGAGCAACCTTCACCTTAACCAAGTGGGCCAGCAGAAACCGGCATTCCTCAATGATTTCTTGCATGGCTCATGGGCTTTCAACATTACCCGTGGTAAGCTCCCCTAGTCATAAGCAGTCGGTGGATACTGCAGAGCACAAGTAGAGAATCGACTCATTCACTGCTAGGGCTTCTGCAAACAGAACCGAGGGAGCTTGCACGCCTTTTGCAAAGCCAGCCACCAACATACCGCATGAATCCCGAACAATTCCAGCTATCAAAACTTCCGTGGCTCCCTCCGTCCATGAGCAGTTGGTATTGAGCTTGAGGAGTCCTCTGGCCGGCGGTACCCACTGTTCAGGTAAGCTCTTGTTTAAAGCGAGGGCGGCGTCGACGATTGAGCTTGAGGAGTCCTCTGGCCACCAATCCCTCTTTACGAGCAAAACATTGAGATTTTTATGTACTTTTGGAGCCACCACGTGACCCATCAAATCATTGAGATTTTCCCACAATTATATGCTAGGAAAAGTCAACGATGATCACGACGTTAACTAGCTCTACAAATATTACAAATTTATGTATCTAGGACATAATTGGTGCAATCCGGAAGTTTAAATCCAGTCAATGCATTCTTTGCTAGGAAACCCATGTGAATCACATGCAAATTATTTACCACTTTTTATCATCATTAGGGATCACACATGATAATCATGGTTAACAGGCTATAATTTAGAAAGGTCACACAATGCAGCCCGCTTGTCATATGCACAAGTAACTGATAATCATTCATTACACAGCAAAGGTGCATCATAAAACTACACATGATGTACATGATGTTCATAAAAGCAAGGAATCATAAGTTCAAAGGTCTTACCTAGTTGTGCAGAGGCACGAGAGGATTCAACAGGAAGAGTCAATGCATACAGATCAAATGAGAAGCCTGAGTAACCGTGGCCTGTGAGTCTTTGGAGCTGAAATCAAAATATGAGCATTCAGCACATATCTATAATACTCAAACAAAAAATAGATTCCACAATGTCATAAACAGAAGATGAATGGAAAAGGAGGGGAAATTGGCGAACAGAAATAATATTCATGTTACAGGGTTCTATAGAATAGAGAAGAAAATCAAATTCATATTATCATTGCGTAGACAAATTATTTCAACGGCCTCTTTTCAGTATGTAATGAGTTTCCGAAGCTTTCTAATGATCTCAGAAGCTTGTAAAGGTTATGGTTTGATCAGTCTCTTGAAATATTTGCAACTAAAGAGCTCAAATTGGAGAATTGCTCAACCAAGAACCATATATATTTAGTAATTCACGATAGGGATCAAGGAAGAATATATTTTTCTTAACGAGTCTAACCAACGGATTATCAACTATTAAGATACTGCACTTTGTCTTTTTCCTTAACCAAGAACATGACGTCCCATTTCTCAAATGGCAATCTGGCTAAGAATACCCAGTCTAGAGGAAAGCTATATTTGATAAACAGGGCATCTGAAAATTGGCCAAAAAAATGAGTGGCCATCTGAAACTCCTAACTTTTGTTTATTGGGCAAATTCTACACCTATTCATAGCAACCATTACATGGCTGAAAAGCGCTCCACTCAAACAACTATACTTAGTGTCAGTCTGGAAAAGTGTACCCACCATCTAAACATTCCACCAGGCCATCATTATTTACCTGGGATGTGCAGATAATTCTCCAGACCTAGGATACAACATGATATCTTTGCTGCAGTAAATGATTTACATCAAGTGCAAGAGAGAGAGAGAGAGAGAGAGAGAGAGTTGTTTAGCAAGATCTGCAATCACCGAAAGCCCCAGCTACAGTTCTTTATCTAACTTGTTGAAAGAATTGATTGAAAAGTAGAAATAAAAAGAGGCTTCCTGAATTCTTCTTAATCAATATGGAAGGGGATGAGTGCTAGGAAGACTGTAGTATTAGATTTTAAAAGAAAAATTAGGAGAGGTTGCTTCAACTTCGTTGATTGATAAAGTGAACTTCAATTTAAAAAGTAGAATTGCTCTATTATGCTCATAAAAGCCTCTTAAAAAATGTATTTAACTATAGGTCCATTGAAAAATAACTATCATTTCCCTTAGGATATATAATGTAAGTAGGTGCTAACTCTAGTACTATAACTTTCTTTTGAACAGACAGTTCAACTGGTTAAAATGGTTGATTGCCATTCATACCATTATTCTGATGCCATTATTCCTCCACAACATTTGAAACCCTTTGTTCCCCTCACTGCAAGAGAAACAAGAAAAAGTTGGAAACATTTATAAATTAGGCAGATAGTTGAAAGGGGGAACATAGATGAAATTTCTATGGAAACCAGTCAATGTTCCTGATGATTCTGCAATTTTACCTTGTTCATCAGCTCGAAACCCGGAACAGATTCCAATCACAAAATGTGTCCAAATATCATGCTTAGAGATAATTTAGCAGACTAACTGACAAAGCAGTTTGCAAAAGGCGGTACTATTTAAGAAAAACAAGTTTGCCGATAGGAGAGTATGTTTTGTTTAAGAAGTTTACATTTCGGTCCTAAGATTATCAATTTAAAGAAATGCCTGTACTCCAGGAAATCGATTTTCGTGCAAGCAAATTATCTCTGAAGAGTACCATTTAAAGGTTACCATTTGATTCAATTGACAGTAACTAAGCTCTAATAGCAGCATTGACCTCTGCAAAATTCTTGGATCAAATCTAAAAAAGATGTGTGTTTGGGGTAACTATGGCTTTAAATTTTTCACTTTAACAATGCCTTTGGGCCGTTCTATATTTTCTCTTCTACATAAAACCCAATGTCCACGGAGAAAAAATAACATGCTGTAAACAGAGTGATACTTAGAGGCTTTTAATTCAGATGGGTAACTTCTCTTCAGAGAAATGTTGGTACCAGTGATATGGTTGAGAGAAGATTTGTGGATGATTTGTATACAAGTACTGGCTAGGTTGGGTTTCTATCAACTCTGTCTTCCAAACATTGCATAGGAACCATGCTCACCATTATAACAACAGTCTCATACTCTCTATCATGAAACTATGCAATAATTAGGGCTAGTTTTTGAGCTCGAGAGGGAGGAAATTGAGCAAGGCAGTCCTTTATCTACAAGATGAGTCCTCTTGCTTGATGTCGTATTCAGAAAGGCAATGAGCTAGTTCACGTTTCCCACAATACTTTTGACTCATAGTCAGATTATTAAGAGCAGCATGACTATAAATTTCAATCTCTAAAAGTCAAGAGTTTTCATGGTTTATTTCCTTTTCCTTGATTTTTTTTTGTTAAGATGCATCCTTAGTACATCTCTGGCTTCTTCTCCCTGTACTTGGGCTGTTGTTCTTTAAAAAATACTTGAATAGAAAAACAATGTCTGTAATCTAGATTAGCTACTTCATGTACTGCGTAAATCACAATGAAATAGATCCTGTTTCACTACGTTTTAACTTTTGTGTCAAAAAAGTTTGAGTAAAACCTTGATGAGTTTTAAACAAGCTTAGAAAACATGGAATGTTAGATCATAGCAGCCTCAGACAAATGAAATATCATTCTGGAAACACTAGCCATACACCGCAACTTAGTAGGCACCTGCTCTCATGTATGCAAGAAGAGACAATTACAACTAATAAACACAAAAAGAGGTTTCTTTATCAAGTACATTGCCCATGGCACATTAGAAAGCATAATTTACTCATAATTAAATTATCACATTTCTTTGCAGATTTCCAGATTTAACCATGACAACACTAAAGACATCAAAAATCTCACTGCAGTGAGAAAACGTGAAAAACAAGGGGGAAAGGAACAGGAAAGAAGAAAGTAATGTTAGCTTAACTTGTAGCACTTCCCAGAACTGTACATCTTCTTGGGCATATGAAAAGAATACAGAAATGTCTAACAAATCACTAAGAATTCAAGGAAAAGGAAACAAAGCAGAGAAATTTAGAATTAATATATACTTGAATTCTTGACGCTTCCAGAAACTCCACTTAAGGACAGAAAAGATGGAAAATTAGTTCCATAAACCTCCATTTATTTTCATGGTTATGTGTTGCAATATTTAAATAGTGACAACAAACAGAACCACTACAAAATCACATCCATCAGTAATCAACATAAGGAAGACCTCCAGTAAGCTTTAGTTGTCAATCATCATACGTCACAATTACAAAGTAGAGCTAAGTAGCTATGAAATCAGCAACAAAAGCAAGTTCAGAAATGCATGCCTTGGAGCTACTTGAATGCAATGCCAGTATTGAGCCACAGCCTCCAAATTTATCATTTGCACAGCCATAATATACTTCCTTTATACCTAAAAAGGTGCAAGAGAAATCTTATTATTTATGAATAAACCAATTTAGGAAAGTTTAGTTTTATTTCAGTATGACCAACAGATGTACCAATGATCAATAATGCTGCTGCACACATATGCATGGTTCACATGTCACATAAAGGGAGCATGCTGAAAACTTCTCTGCAACTTCTGTAGCTGAAAATGCAGTCATCTGCCACTATTCCTGAAGGACATCAAGAGCTTCCATCTCTGCATGTCTTATTGCCTATGAAAGAGCAAGAAGAAAAACAAAGCAAGCATATCAAATTTAGGAGCTTTGTCAGAAAGATAGTTTCTCATAGTGTAGGTTAGCATAAATTTAGGAAATGCATTTCATAAGGAATGTTTTCTCCTTCAAGTTAACTAATTGAGAGAATCTATAAGATAGATTAAGGCATATACTACATGAACTCAACAATTTTTGCTCGCTTGAAGTTGCTGAGAATCTCACGTGGAAAAAGAGGGTTCTTACTGGATTAGCCACCTCCACCTTTTATAACAGTATTTTTATATATATACCTGGTAGCAAGGTGCCTTTATTCTTTCAATACGCTCCACAAGATACTAAAAGGGCCATACATTTTTCGTATCGACTATTCATCGCTGTCCATAAAATCATTTTTAGTAGTGTACTGTCACCATAAAACTATACATAATTGTAGCAATAGACTATTAGATAGGAGATGATCTCTACCAGAAACCAAGCTTAAACTATTTGTGTACATGTGGCCATTGTACGACGAAATATGCCCAAAGAGTAGGTTCTTAAAATCTTAAAAGGCAATACAATGCTCCCAATGCATTTTTATACCAAGTAAGAATACCAAAGTCAAGCTAACATACAGCCTAAGAAAACAATGTTAGGAACTTCACAAAAACAGATAAAGTCCATAATATGGCTCCAGACAAAGCATAATGGTAAATGAAAAATGCAACACATTGTGCATAATAAAGCAAGAATATTGCTATTGTTGGCCTTAGTCATATCTTATGAAAGATTAATGCGAACAAAACCCTTTACAACCTAATTATGCATGCAAAATTCCACTATTAACAGATTTGTTCAGATATATTATTGAAAACCATTCGCTAATTTAGACTAAAATACTAATCATCTTAATTAGAAAAGAAGGTAACATATCTGAAATGCACCTAGTTACTGAAAATCAGTTTCTTACCCAACTGGAAGCTTTGCCTTATATAAGAAAAGCAAATAGGTCTCGTTACTGGTTAGGAGAAGAAAACATGAGGATAAAAGTTAGAAATTCTCTCCTGCATGCATGCATGCATACAGGCAATTCAAGAGGAAGTCAGCATCAAGTTGCTAACAGTAGAAATATTCAGCATGTCTCATAGCTACAGATGGAATGAATGCATGTCTCATAGCTATGTGATCAAGATCTTGCAGGTCCTGTATAAATATACTGGTCACAAATTCCAAGCAATGGTTATTACCACATTCTCATCCTGTGATTCAAATGCGAATCCCACGTAACTATCAAACTTATATGGCTCTAACAACACTAAAGCAAAAAATGCAACTAATTTGAGAAACTACATGTCGCTGACTCCAGTGAGTCTTATCATTGGTACCTCAGAAGCTTATCTTTCATTAATTAGGTTTCACTCAAACATTCAAGAAGCTTCCAAGAGCTTTAGCTTCTAGGTCAATTTACTCCATAAACGCTACGGCACATAAGCATAAAAAGAGAACACTAAACTGTTGCGAAGGCCTCAGAATTCAGAATTGACAATCAGCTGTTTGTGCTTTTGTCGTCTCTATTCTACTGAATAACTTATGCAAACTCCGTGTTTCTTGTGATTTTTTTCTTTTTCATACCCACAGTCCACAGGGAGAAAGAAAATAATCACCTAACCAGTTATCCATGGGCACATCTCATGCACCAAGTAAATTTGGTTTTTAATTCTCCATAGATGCCAAAGTCAACAAGTGGTAAAAGGACTCGATTGTCCAGCAACCTTTCCTGGTGGCTTGCCATCTCACTGCATCTTCTTCATTCCTGAATGGTTTTGCCTCTCCAAGCGCCGCATAAAACATAGAGATAGAGACCTATCCCAGCGATCGAAGTTTCTCACAATTCAATAGTCCTGGAAAACCTTTCACCTGGTGCACATCAGTATGAATTGTACATACTACATATCCACAATTCCTAGACACCTCAAAAGCACCCTGCCGCGCCCCACCCCCCAACAAAACCCCACTGTGGCTAGTTGTCCACTGCCATGCCTGGTTTCGCATAAGGGAGTCCTAACCTATAGCACTTGGATTGGCTCAGTTTTCGCCTGAAAAGCGGACTGAACCAAACCATGTACAAGCTACTTCCCATTGTTTCACTCTCCCTCTGCTTGTATTTTCCATTGAACCTAGACTTCACCTACTTCTTTGAATCAATTGCCCACTTAACAAAAGAAAGGAAGAAAAGGTATGCCTTCTAGGGATCGTTGCTGATTTTGCAGCGTGTAACGTCGATTGCCAGCGAATTCACTACCAAGCATCCACAGACTAAACTTACTAAGAAACACCTTATTCAACGTCTCTCGAACAAATTCCCGGACACATTCTTCAAGTTCCCGCGCAATTGCAGCGCCGTACGAATCGAATTCAAAATCGAGCTGATCTACAGCGATCTACATGAAGCCTAGAACCTCGGGAGGGGATCGCTCGCCCCGAGCTGCTCTATCAGTTTCCGTGGCTTCGGTCGGCGGTGGTAGTCCGTTGCCTCCCGCTCGCCGGTCTCCGTAGCCGTCGATTCGCTCGGGACTTTGTCTATTTCGGGAAGACCAACTCCTTGTGCTTGTCGCCTCCATCGGCATGCGGCGATCTTCCGTTTCGTCAGAGCTCGGTGGTGGTGTCGGATGGAAGATGAGGAGGAGTCGCGATGCTGAAAGTGGCGTCGGTGGAGAGAGAAAATCTGGAAAAGAGTAAAAAAAAACAGAGAAAAAGAGCTAAAAAGAGAGGAGAAAACGAGAAGAACAAGTCAGAAAAGAAAAAATCAGGGAGCTCACTTACCTACGAATTGCTTCCTTCGCAAGTTTCTCGATCGTTCTCTTCTCCATCTGTCGAATCGGAGGAAGTCGACGTGGTCTTGATTCGCTTGCCTTGGGCGGGAATAAGCCCATGCTTTCTCTTGGGTGCTATTTGTTCATCTCTCTCGATTCTCCTTTGATGATCTTGCAGGTCTTCCTGTAGATCTGTTTCGGTCTATTCGTGTGCATCAATAAACTCTCGACTTCTGAACTTATTGATTCGTGATCAATCTCGTAGAGTAAAGCTGGATCGATTAGCCGATCATCTTGGAGCACGATTTTTAGATCGTCCTCCAATTTCTTGCAAAATATTCGGAATCCCCACTTTTTCATGTATTTGCCGGATACCGTAAGGCTAAATCGTACGCGACTCCCATCAATTCGATCAAAATCGACTGCTCCCCACAACTCTGGAGGTGTGAGATAACGAAGTCGGATATGATCCGACTGCAACGGTTCGAAATAGAATGCGGAACTTTCCCGCTTTTTGCCATTAACATGGGCAACAAAACGATATGAGTTTTCACTTTTCCCCTCATAATTATTCTTATCGAGAGAAACACAGAGAGCTAATCCAAAACACTTATCATACAAGTCTTTTGAAGCCATGAAAGATATGGAATCCTCTTCAATAGGGAGAACCCACTCCGGCATCTCTCCTTGAGGGAGAACAACAGCGTATCTAAAAAGCTGAAACAAAGATAGATCATTAGAAAGTACCCAAGTTTGTTATTAGTACCCAAATAGAAAAATTCAATTTGAATTTAGTAAGTAATCCTAAAGAATTCCACTTGGAATTGGAGCTCAATAAACGAGTGGAGATACATTGATCCTTGCTTGCAGTAGCATACAATCTCATGTGATAGAAATCATTCCCATAAAAGTACGGTAGCCAACTCCATTACATGCATACACGTGCAGAATCACTTTATATTTGTTTGAATTTCTTAAGCCTCCAATCTTGCCTTTTCTGCTATTGCAATAAACAAGCACGCATCTGATTCAGCATATAGTCCACATCAATATGCATGCGTGTGTGCGCGTGAGAGAGAGAATCTAACCTCGTTATGTAAGGAACTATTAGCCATGGTCAACCCTCTACGGACAAAATCATGAACTGAAGTTAAATCTCCACAATTTTGCAGAGATTCACAATTATCCGCCGTAATAGTACTCAAAAATGGTGGAAGCTCAGGAATCTCTTGTAATTGATGGCAATTTTCAACTAGCAAATAGGACAAATGATGACGTTTATTGATGGATGTAGGAAGGCTAGTAATATTGTTCCCCGACAGCTGTAATTGTGTCAAGAATGGAGAACATGAAAGATTCTCAAGAAAGTCTACTTCGGACAAATTACATCCCAAAAGGTTTAACTGATGTAAATTTGAAAGTTTGGTCTTCATGCAAGGATCAGCCGAATCCTCGTACTTTGGAAACCCGATTAAATTTGTGCAAAAATCAAGAGCCAAGTCTTCAAGGTTTTGTAACGTGTAAATGCTAGATGGAAGACGCGTCAAGTTCTCGCAATTACTTAAATACATACGCTCCAAAGAGACAAGATTTTCTATTGATGCAGAAAGCCCTTTAATAGCCGTTCTTTCTAAATGAAGCTCTTTTAGGGCTTTGAGTTTATGTGGAATATCAGGGAACCTTTCAAACTTTGTGCATTTTTCAAGACTGAGAGTTTGAAGATTTTTTGACTTGAGCTCATTTGGAAACACACTAAGCTCAGAGCACCCACAGAAATCCAACACTTGTAGCTTTTCATGATATGCGATGGACTCGTGGGCTTCTACCAAGTTTTTGCAATTATGGAGATCCAATCCCTCGAGATTTGGAGTACACGAGACGTCGGGCATGTGAACTAGCAACTTGCAGCCACTTAAATTAATGTACTTCAAATTTTGGAAGCCCTGCAAAAACAACGAAACCAACTTTGATAAACATCCCGAAAGGAAAAAAAGGGGCATTTGTATGATGATGTTGCTTCCTTACATTTAAAACGTGGAATTCCCGTTTGACAATAGGTTGCTAAATGAAGCATTTCCAGCATTGATCTTTCAAGAGATAATTATATTTTAGGTCATCAATCGTAATTATAGAGCAATTTCTTTATTTAATATAGAGGTGATCTGCTGTGTTGTCCACAAATAGGCCTATGTAAGTTGTTGGACATAGACGGGAGAGTCAAACTCGTGAAATGATGGTAATTTAATATCGGATGTCATTCACGTTATCCATAGTTTTATAATATCGATGATTAATAATATCATAATTTATTTGTAGGGGCTTAGCTTGATTTTAAGGGTTATAAAATTGGCTACACAACACATGGAGGAGATTGGGTTTGTCAGGGACAGGATGTGTCACAATTACGTATCCTTGATTGTTATATAATCTATATTGACCTGGTGAATATCTTCACAATTACATATGCCTTGGCCATGACACTCTTCCTGTGGAAGGAGGCAAGGAGCTTCCGCAGATCAGGCAACTCGGAACCTACTATTCAGGGTTCCGAGTAAATTTCTTCACCTATTAATTGACTTTTCATTTGTTCTATTGTAAATTATATGTTGTATTGAGAAATGACTCGACCCTTTCAAACTTCACCAGTAATTACAAATATCTCTCTCTCTCTCTCTCTCTCTCTCTCTCTCTCTCTCTCTCTCTATATATATATATATATATATATATATATATATATATCGGAAAAGCTTGCATGAAGTGGTAAAACGTGGCAAGCGCACGACCAAGCTTTACCCAGCAATTTAATTTCCATCGTCACCTTAGCAAATCAGAGATAACTCTATCATTTTACATTTTAGATATTATTTGAAAGAATTGAATATAAGTACACGATATAAAAAATTTCACAATTAAAATTGTGTTAGACAATTATTAAAAGAATTAGAATTAATATCATTGAAAGTCCCAAATCAGTACGCAGGTTTACTTCAACTTAATTTTCGTTTCACAAAAATCCTAAATTGGTACCATTATGACACAGTTACCCCAAACTAATTTTCTTCTAACAAAAAATCTCAAATTGGTACTCTTGATCCAAATTTACCCTCCATTAGTAGACGAAAATTAGTTTGAAATAAACATGTGCCGTGTATCATGCATGTGGCAATCACAAAATTTAAGTGAAGTGCCACGTGGTGAACATGCGAATGTAAGCCACATGACAAGACTATGTCAAGTGTCATGCCATGTGACAATTATAGAAGCATGGTGAAGTACCACGTGTCGAGTGCGGATGCGGGCCACGTGACAAAACTATTCCATGTGGCAATAACAGAAACAAAGTGAAGTACCACAGGGGAGCATAGGAATGAAGACTCTGTTAGTTCTAACTTTAACTATATATAATAGATGAATGCAGGATATAAATACTATCGCAATGTAATTGTGAAATTAAAATCTTTAATTTTTTTTGAAGTCATGCAAAGACAATGAAGCCAACTTTGAAAAACATTCGGAAGAAAATAAAAATTTCATATAATTCAAAATCTAGCTCCGACTTTCTATTAAGAAACTAGTGGTATGCCCCTACTGGATCATTTAGCTGTGCACGCATTACAAACATTACTGGCAAAGTTCCTAATAAATACTTTATTATGTCCACTTAGAAGTGCTGCTCCTTAAGAAATGATTTAAGCAATTAATAATGCCTTGTTTTACAGAATGGTGCATTCAAACTTTCGACTGAGCTAATTTTATTGATGTTGGACAAATCCCCGCCGTTTTTACTTCTATATACATGTCAACGAGTAGGGTTCACCATACTTTTGTTTCCCTTTTGTTCGATCACTATATAATTTTTCTGTAAAATAAAAAGGTTTATATGTAAACAACCGACAACAAATTGCATTTTGAATTTCTTCACTAGGTAGATTTGATCTGATTTTGAAACATATCTATGTCGATAGTTAGAGATATTGGGTTTAGAAAGTATGTAAACTTTATCTATACTATTATATATGGCGAAGATGATCTCCTACTTTAAAAGATTTTAATCTTTTTTTTTATATTCCTTCGATCAATTATCCTTAATTACTTATTTTACAGATATTATACCATGGACGGATACATGGAATTGATTATTTTGTTTTTTATATCTCACATATTTCAATATGAAAAGTCAAATTTTCTAATGATGCAATGACCTTCACAAAAATTTCAGATCTTGAAATATCTTTCTCTTTCCACATATATGTATAAAAAATCTTTTACTGTGTATATTATTAACAAAAATGTTTCCATTGAGTATTTCTAATAAAGAGTTCGCTTACTTTTCAAATGCCAATTTTGCTGCACTTAAAAATATTTCTAACGTAAGTAGTTAGCTTCATTTTGAAAGAAAATAGAGAAATAATTTCTAAAACAGAGGAACAATACTTCCTTTTGTCTGCTAGTACATATAATATGCATATAAATACACAAATAAGGTAGATAATGAAAAGGTCAATGTAGGTAAATGTTCACCTTAAATTGATTTGGCACTACTGGAATACTGCAATTGCTCATATCAAATCCCACTAATTTCTTTTGACCAGAGGAAAATTCTGGAATCCGGGGAGCGCATCCAATCCATCGAAACCATCTTAGCTCATTAGGAAGATAAATAGGACCTTGGAAAGTATTATCCACATTGCGCAAAATGAGCAATCTCAACCTTCTCATTTTTGTAAAAGCATCAGGACCAACACATATCTCTATCGGCTCAGGTGGCTCCAATACTATGGCTTTTACAGCACAATTTCCCTGTATATACAAGACTATTTAGGTTATGCATGTTCAGTAATTAGAGTAAAAAAGATAAGGAGCAGAATTTTGATGGTATTTGCAAGTCTTACCATGTCGCTTGATAGAACATCGACAACGTCATCATACAACCATAGTCTGCTGCGTCTCCCAGGATCATCGCTTTCTTGGTTCACAATATCCATACCCATCAATTGAATCAAGTCATGCATTTGTATGTTTCCGGACTCAGTTCTTATCAAGGACCTCTCCATGAGAATTTGTAATCCTATTACTGCCTTAAGATCGCAACTGTCGAGAACTTTCTTTACATACTCACTATCCCACCCCTTAAAGAAGCAGACAATGTGGAGAAAGATCTCTTTCACTTTTGGTTCTAGTCCACCATAACTTATTTTGAGCACATCATTGATGCCTTTTTTAGGAGCCATAGAAATTTCATCCAGTGCACTTTCCCATTCATATTCTCTTCTACCGCGTAAGAAAGAACCTAGCACCTCAAGTGCTAAGGGAAGGCCTTTAGCATGATTTAGAACACTATCCACTAGATTTGTCCTAATTTTAAAGTTTTGGTGTGTCGGAAAAGCATGCTTACTAAATAGCTCACAAGCATCACTATCATCCAGTTCTCTAACTTCGTACACATGATCTTGATCTATCCCGAGATAAGTTAGCAAATGGCTATCTCTTGTAGTAACAATGATCCTACTCCCATTACTAAACCACTTACCTTCTCCTACTAAAGCATGTAACTGGCACAAGTCATTCACATCATCAAGGATGAGGAGAACTTTTTTGTGACGAAGTCTTTCTTGTATTAGATTAATACCTCTATCAACATTGGACACTACTAATTTTTCTTTCAGTGCTAATATCTCAAATAGTAATTTTTCTTGCAAAGTAACTAAATCCTTGCATTCTTTCGAAGTTTCTCGAACATTTTCCAAAAAACTTGAACCTTCAAATTGTCTGAAAATTTCATTATAAATGGCTTTAGCTAGACTTGACTTCCCTATGCCTCCCTGTCCCCACAATCCCACCATGAGAACATGGTCATCAGACTCAAGGTTTAACATAGATTTCAACTTAATCACCTGGGAATCTATCCCAATCGGATGTGTAGCAACATGCAAAAGTGTTCGGTCTAGGTGAGTGGAGATTTCCGTCACAATTCTTTGTATAAGCTCTGACTCATCTCTGAAAAAAAAAACGAAAAATAGAAATTGTAGCATCGTTTTAGCAATTTGAATAAGCAAATAACAAGCAATTACTAGCCAACAATGACAAAAGCTGTGCATCACATTTTCACGTAACCACAACCAAACCAAAATGTATTCCCACCGAGTCGAATTAGAACTCAAAAGAGCTCCACAACAATCAAAACAACTTCAGGTTTCAACTTTTAGTCATCCAAGTGATTCATGTTCTTTTGATTTATACACGACGATTTACTTTTTTTTTTTGTTGAACTATCATGTGTGATTTATTTATATGCTTAATCAAAAAAAGTTATTTAGGACTTTGAACGATGGTTAAGATTTTGATTCAAAAACTATTAAAGTACCCTGAAGCACGATGTCATTGCTTAACATGGCATTTGCACACACTAATTATCCTGTATCAAGCGTTGCAAGCTTTCTCATTCCTTCCAAAGAAATGGGGTAAGTGCAGTAACACATAGTTAACATCTTGTCCATTGATCGATCAAGTTTTAGCATTATATATTGTTCAAATAAGTCAGTAAAACTTTCGGGCGATGAAGTCCTATTTTCCAATTTTTATTGCGGGAGAAAGCCACGTGTCTATTCTGTGGTTAGCCACGTGTGATTTTCAAACTCAAAATGCCAGGAGAGACGAGTTTAGGACTCGGTCGACGACAATCAAAAATCTGTAGAACTCAATTTACCAAAATGAAACGTGAAGACCTCAATAGCCCACAGATAGGAGATGTCTGGAACTTTTATTACACGTTGAGGGGGGCAACAAGGATCCATACGAAAGACCTATAGACCTTACGCGAATGAATCAGGGCTTAACAAAAGCTCAAGGCAGAATTCTCTTGTTCGATGCCCGATAATAGGTTTTTTTTTTCCGTGCCAGTGAATTTTAATAAATGTCGGAAGTGTCAAAAAAATGTAGGGAAAAAAAATCAGTCACTTTTCCTTTCACATAACTTGTTAGTAACTTACAACAGTTTTTTGAATCACCAACTTTTTATTATAATTTGCTACTTACCAATTTTGTACTAACTTACCAAATTAGATTTGCAGAACTTACGGCATCAAATTTTATATGAAATCACCAACATAAATTAGAGTGATTTACCCACATTTGTCACATTAAATAATTATTTACTAGTTTTGAGTTACCAACTCTCACTTGAGCGACTTGTTCTTTTAATTTACCAACTTTTTTATTGAATTACAAACTCTGATTTGAGTTACTTACTAACTAATTTCACAAACTGCCAATCTTAATTAGAGTGACCAATTTTTTTATGATTAAGTTACCTACTTATTTTGGGTTATCAATCCTCGTTTGAGTTACTTGCCAAGCTTAAGTTTCTTTTAATTATCAACTTTTTTCACTTTTGCCAATTTTATTAACTAAGTCTTAGATTTATCAACTCTTACATGAAATTACTGAAAAAAATTTAAGCCACTCAAGAATTTTCAGGAATCATAAGATGAAGCATCTATATGTATACTTACAATCATATGTGTCTAGATTTTTCACAAACAATCTCTATAACTACTTGTAAAAGTTAGCTTCTTGCACAAAATATGGACTCCACTCTACTTACCCATCTTTATAATGCCACCCGGACAAGCTACCGGCATCAAAAAGAGCTTTCTCCCATCTCTTCACTTCCTTCGAATCCTTCCCAAACTTGGACTCATGCTTAATCATAGCTTCTCTGTACCTCTCTCTTGGTGTTCTCACTTCTCTAGGTTCCACTTTGTAAAACAAGGGAAAGACCATGAGATCTCTTTCTTTCTTGTAGTCCATGATTCTCGCCACCTCTTCCAAACACCACCATGAGGAAGCGTAATCCTCGGAGAATACGATTATCGCAATCTGTGATTCCTCAATTGCTTTCATAAGCGCCGGCGCTATTTGCTCTCCTTTCCTGAGCTCCTTGCTATCAACATAAGTGTTGATTCCTTTCTGGTCAAGAGCTCTGGAGAGATGACCAAGGAAGTTGTTCCGGATGTCCTCGCCTCTGAAACTTAAGAACACATGGTATATCCTTTCGAGTTTCGATGAAGAAGCCATTAGATGATGGAGTTTAACAATCAGCAAGCAACGAGTATTAGCTGAAGATTTGGTATAGCGCTTTCCGGTAGTTCGTTCACCACTTGATCTTCTTGTTGATTTATTGTTGTACCAGAGGACAGAGATGCATGACTTTTTTAGGGTAGGGTCGATAAAGAATAATATTAGAATTTTGGAAAATAATGGTGCTTAAGGATGGACCTAGTTATTAAATAGGTGTGAACACATGGACTTTTTTTCACTGAATACCGCAAATGATGGCATTATTCGGATTGGCTGATTAACACAAAATTTATTTTGTTTGGTGTTGGAGTTATTTTTAAATTGTTGTTAAACGTGACCGGTCTGCAAGCCATATGTCCGACAAAAGTAGTGAATAGAATAGATCACCACTGGTCATAGTGGAATCAATTATTGCACAAACTGACAAACAACTTGAGAGTAGTGGCTTCCTCGAAATGGCATTTCCAACCTCTGAATACGTTTTTTTTTCTTGGGGGGCACTAAATAATAGTTGAACACATGATGACTCAAAAGATATATAATTATACGCATAATTAAGTATATTAGAAAAGAATAATATTCTATGAACAATAGTAGAACTCCGGAAAATCTCGGTGCTTAAGTATGGACCAAGATAACTAAGAGGTACAAACACATGAACTTATTTTCACTTAAAGCCACATACCACAGCATTATTTGGATTGTCTTATTGAAACAAGTTTCTTTGTTTGATGTTGAATTAATTGTTAGATTGTTGATGCACTTGACCGGTCAACATAAGATAAACTTGTAATTAATTTACCAGCTTCGAGGGAATGACTTTCATTTATTGAGTCTTCGTTTATCTTTTTCTTACTTGGGAAATAAAGAATTGCCTTTCATTAGTTAGCTTTTGTCATAGGTTCACTAATAAGACAAACTTTGACGGCTTTCTAGTAATGGCGTTACCGACCTTTGAGCAGTTAGTTCCTCTTTCCTAGTTAATAATTTAACGCATACTCATAAGATACATAATTATATATGCAAAATTTTAGTATATCATAGCTAAGTGATATGATATGCCTTCAATCAGAGGTGAAGGTATATTATATTGGTTAGCTTTATGTATGCAGACTCTTATATAGCGAATTTGCGGGTAATAATCGATGTACCTTGATATTCGTGACAGGACACTAATCAATAAATTACTTAATTGATTTCTTGTCATTATAAAATGAAAGGTGCTATGAAATCTGTGGTGGCACCATGTGCGCCAATATCGTCGGTTTGATGTTCTAGGATTTTCGGTGTCCAACCCAATAATCTTTCTCTAGTCAAGAGTCACTTGTGCGCACATGTGATTCGGCTTGGATTTACTTCACCTCGAGTAACATGGTCGAAGATACGCCATTAGGCCCACAAAATGGTGAGAAATGATGGATCTAGAAAATCATGTGTATAAACAAACGCAATGCTATCCTACTAGGAATATGAGATATGTAAATATTCATGAGAAATTAGACAAATAGTATTTGAACCGTGTTATAAAAGTATTTGAACTACTTAATGAATACTAAAAGATCTATTTCGTACTGAGGAACGCCGCACAATTTTTTTTCTAATTTCTTTTCGTGAACTCAAATGGTTCTGGGGCCGAATGAAGTTATGGATTCTTATACATGGCTTATGGTAGCAATCATGAATTGAGTAGTTTCTTTGATATGTTCAACTAACCAGAATAAAAAAATTTATAATAGTGCATTGATCTTTGTAGTGAAATGTTATTCTTAACATAAACAAAGCATAAACTGATGCTGAACAAACTATAGTTATTACATCTACGATTAAAACTTGTGTGAGTGTCATTATTGCATCTACAACGAAAAGTTGTGTTGTGAGAGTGTACACCCACGGTAGAGATTGAGAGATTACAGAATAATAGTTGTCACTTGCTTAGCCATGACTTTGTCCTCCCCTTTTATTGTTATTGTTTAATGTTATGATGCATGTTATGTGATGCATTGACTTACGAAGAAAATATAGAATATTTAAGTTATTTGAGAATATCAGTTGGTATGACTTCCACAATTCCTATAGTAGATACATTTTTATGAAATTGCATTATCGTTTACTTGATGCCATAGAAATAACGATGGTTGTCACTTGCTTAGCCATGACTTTGCTTGTCACGCTCCGAACCCTATGGCACGCGACAACCCTACCGAGGTCGATTCAGTGCGACGTCCCAGGACGCGTCGCCGACCCGAAATCCAAAACAGAGAACAATGCACAAGCGGAAGCAAACAAACACCCGTACAAATTAAAACCACATGACCAAGGATAGCAGTAATACCATAAATACAACTTGTACTAATAACGGGGATTTACAATGTCTATTACAACAGAATAAACATATAAAAGCCAAAACGGGTCAACAGTCACCAACGTCAAAAGGGGGGTACGTGGCTCGGCGGTCAAGCACTATATCTAGCTAGGGCTCCTCCCAAAACGTATCGGTACGCCTGCCATCCTCATGTCACGCCCCGCACTCCTCGGCGCGCCACATCCCTCGTAAAGGTCGATTCGTGTGCGACGTCCCAGGACGCGTCGCCGACCCAACACCCAACACAGAGATATAAAGCACATGCGGAAGTAATTAAAACCACCCGTACAATAAAATACACATAATCCAGGATAGCCATACAACAACCAGCACGGATAAATATACACTTGTTTTGACATCGGGAAACATATACAATATTTATAAACAGCCCACACTTAAAAATCAAAAGCGGGGTACGTGGCTCGGCGATCAACCACTATATCTAGCCGGGGCTCCTCCCAAAACGTTTCAATACGCCTGCCATCCTCAGGGCTGGGGGTCTGAAAAATTGGGTTTCAACAACAGTGAGAATAAATCTCAGCGAGTAATTCCCTAAACCTAAATTAGGCTAAAGTGCACCTCCTGACGAGTACTAAATCAACACCCCAAGCAAATCATAATTGATTTAGGCCCTTGGGCCCAAATCCAACACTCACCTTGCCCTGCAGGTTAGGCACTTACAATTCAAGCATAAAACATAGGACCCAGTCGCAGCACATGTACACATCATTTGGTCACAACGCATGTCATGCTTATGCTCGTGCTCATACGCGTGCTCACGCCTCATCAATGCATTTTCGCACGCTTGCACTCTAGCATACTTGCCATTTATCAATTTCTCCTCCGACCCGCGTTAAACGCATCAGTCCGACCCGCGTAAAACGCATCGGGTCTATCACTATCCAACACTTCTCGGCCGCGTAAACGCATCGGGCCCGGTGTCTCTAGCCGCGTAAACGCATCAGGCGCAACACCGATCTCCATATACGGACCGAACCCGCGTAAACGCATCAGGTTGGCCGTCTTCCGGCAATCCGGGCATCGTCCCGCGTTAAACGCCTCAGGACGGGTTCACTACCCCGCGTAAAACGCATCAGGGTTTATTGTGATCACACATTCACAAGCACCAATTTTCATCTGAACCCCGCGTTAAACGCATCAGGGCATTTTAGGTGATCACAATGCACATGTCACTCGAGCACACTTGTAACTGCACATGCCGTGCCAATGCTCGTGATGCAAACTCATGGCTATAACGTTCACATATGGGCATTCACTTGCACCGCACCACTTACTCAAATCACGATGCAATCATGCGCATTTGCACCACGCATATTCAATTTCATAAATCAACATGCTCAATCAGACAATCAATTCAAATCAGCCATGGCATCAACTTGACACACAATCCATGCACAATCCACACAACCGGGATAACAAGAACCCTCGCATTCGAGGCCCGCCAAGCTATTCCATTCTTAGTTCCGCTAAACAAGCAACATGGCATCCTAAAATCAATCACAACAAGACTCATTTAGCTAGTCAATTGATCAATGCGATCATTCCCGGTAATCACACAATTAACCTCCAAATTGATCGCTCATAGACCAATTCAAACCCGGTATGGACAGCCACCAAACAGATCGTCCTAGGCCAACAAATGTCCTCAAAACACTCCATTTGACTCCCCAAAATATCACCCAAATCAGCCACCATGAGGACCAAATGAGGCGCGCACTATAATCCACATTTGAACCCGAAATCAACCCCAAACTCGGGCCGAATCATTCCAATACTTTCAGCCTTCATGCAGCACATTCCAAGTCATTACACCTCATTAAAATGATCCCGTTAGACCACCAAAACCGCCATGAAAACAGCCGCTATTCGGTCTTCAATTTACACCCGCCAAATTCACAATTTCGCCCAATTTGAGGCACCTATGCACAGCCACTTCACAGCACTATACGGGTCATTAAACCTCAACTAAATCATCGCACTAAGCTCGTAAAATAGCCACAAGATCAGTACGAAAACAGCCACCATTTAGCTCGCAAATTTCACTCGCCAAAATCACAATTTTTGTCCAAATCACAACTCTCATGATCAGCCACCACGCAGCACGTTATGGACCGCCAAACCTCAGTCAAATTATCAGTCTAGGTCACCAAATGCGCCACAAAACCAGCCCCTAACAGCCTCCACCGTTTAACCCCTAAATTAACCTAATTAACCCCTAAAACCCGTCTAGAAATGCAAATTGTCCTAATTAGGGCTTAGGGTCAAACTCACCGGGTGTCCTAAGCTTCAAACCGAGCCGAACACGCGGCAATGGCGGCTGGACAGCGGCGACGCCTCGCTGGAACAATAACGGCAGCGGCGGTTCCGGCGAACGGCGCGAGCCTAGGCGGATGGGTGGCTGGTCGCGGCGGTCGGGAGAGAGAGAGGACAGACTGGTGAGGCTGGTGAGGCGTGGGATGGTGGTTCCCGGCAACGGCTCCGGCGGCGGCGGCGGCGACTCCTCCGGTGAGGTGCTCCCCACGGCCAAACAAGAGAAAGAGAGGGGGAGTGATGGCTGTGGGTGGAAGGGCTGCCGGCTGAGGAGAAGGGAACGGCGGCCCACGGTCGGCGCGACGCACGGTTGAGCTGGCCGGCGACGGTGCGGCACGCCAGGCCGAGGCGGAGGGCAGCGGCGACGGCTTGCTGTCACGCGCGCGTGAGGGAGAGAAAGGGAACGGTCGGGGCGGTGGCTGGTGGTCAACGCGACGGTGGTCGGGCTTCTTGCGG